ATTACATTTAAATGATCAATTACAAGAATCATGTGTATGAACAAGCTTGACTCAAAACATAAGCATGTCAAGGAAGGACTTTAGTTTTTTTTTGTAATCCAAGGACTATCTTTAGTTGAGTTCATATTTCCTTTAACAAGTCCATCAAGCGTACCTTTTGAACATAGAAAGATTGCGAAAGAGAGGAGCATAAAGTTCTTTGTCTTGTGTTACTATGGGAGCATGCTCAATCTCTAACCTGGCAGCAAGAATTTCCAGGTCACGTTTGGATGACCACCTGGGTCTCTGCAACAAAAAGTAGATCTTCAGATTGAAATAACCATAGCAATGTCTTGTCCAGGTAGCTAACTCATAATTGACAGAGATATTAGCATAAATACCATTGCACGAGCGGAAGCACGGCGACGTACTAGAATGTGGTTCATCTCCTGAATCAATGTTCTTGTTTTAGGTGGCATCATACACCTCATCTTTCTCCTAGGAGTTATCATTGCAGTACTGTTGTTTGAGGCAGAAAAGACAACTTTCTGGGCAAAATTTTCAAGACTAGTCACATTAGTAGAGGAAGTTGAGCTGTGCGAGGTATGAACACGAACACCATCATATTCCCTTGAATCCATATTATTATCATTTACCAACCAGGCTCCCCCTTCGGTTTTCGAAAATTGCTTCCCTGAAAAGTTAACATTACTTCCCTTGGCCAAAATTGCATTGAAGTTTTGGGATCCAACACTCTCCAAATCCAATCTGTCACCTTTTCTTCCAACATCTTTCTTCTCAGATAAACTGCGAGCATCATTTCTATCTGTCCCATGTTCAAAAACATCATCATTAGATATGTTTCTTTCAGAGACTAAGTCACCGTTTTCATCATTGTGCTTTCCCATTTTGTTACCGTCCCCAACTTCAAATTGAAGAATAGGATTGGGCATTTTTTCCACCGTGGCAATGAAAGCAGAAGAATTAGAAAACCCTGAAACAGAGCCCATTGGGGGGCTCCAATTAGTGAAGTACTTTGGTGTCGAATGCAATGATGGAAATCTAACTTTATCGAACTTCTGAGGCACAGAAGACCATGGGTCATTTCCACTTCCATATGGAACCAATATTGACTGAAACAGTAAATAATTAACAGCAAGCACCCCCAACAGAAAAAGCAATCTCCGGTTCCCCATTTGACATAACTTATAAAAATATGGAAACAGGTAAACCAGTTAAGAACTGAGATGACACCAGATCACTTCGTTCTTTGACAAATTAGCTTCAATCTCCCAAACATTCTGCTATTATGACTTCACAAATCATTGAAGAAGACTTGAAGAGAAAAAAAATCAAAGGATCCTACTAAGAAAATTGGAATATTTTATAGTTAGAGAGACTACAGACAATCCAGCAAAATGTTGAGTCGGATCAAGTAAATAAACACTGAGTCTTAATTTTCACTGTTTCTTAAGGTTAGGTGCATGTGACTTGAGGAACTTGAAGAAAGCGAAAAAAAGCAAAGAGTTCAAAATGGACATTTGTTTCGTATTTTCGCAAAGAGGAACGAGACAACAAGGGGAAGTGCAGGACTAACCTTAGTAGTACAGTGAAGACCGAAACCGAAGAGACAAACTTCAAGCTCTCTTTCTCTCTCCTTTTCGCTATTTTTTTGACTTTATTGTGACCAAACAAAGAAACAGTTCGGGACCAGAACCAGACGAGATCTAAGTAAAATCTTTTAAAGTATCTAATAATGGAAATGTGTTCATCAAACGCACATATACTAATAATTTGTAACAGCCACACAGGCAAACTAATTTATTTGAAGATATTTATTCCTGTAAATATCTTCATATTTTGTATTTTCTAAATTTATTTTTCAATTAACTTTTATGTGTTATGTATTTTTGGACGAAGGAAATTGTAACAAAAAAGGAAAAAATAAAATAAAAAATTACGAAACTTTTTTTTTTTGTGATTATTCTTTATAAAACACTATACCTTTAAAATACCTCTTTTTTAATTTATTTGCATCGCTTCATTTACTTCGTCTTCTAAATTTTATTTATTATAAATTATTGTTGTCCATTTAAAAATACAAACTTCTCAAAATTAAATAAAGTTATTTTTCGTTTTCTTTTTCAATTAGGAAAATGTTTGTCTGTATCTTAAGAAAAATCAAGAATTAAAAATAAAAATACAAACATATAACATTTTAAATATTTTTTATTATATTTAAAAAAAATTATTAATACTTTTTAAATACTAACAAGCTGACATGGCCTTTNAATACCATTGCACGAGCGGAAGCACGGCGACGTACTAGAATGTGGTTCATCTCCTGAATCAATGTTCTTGTTTTAGGTGGCATCATACACCTCATCTTTCTCCTAGGAGTTATCATTGCAGTACTGTTGTTTGAGGCAGAAAAGACAACTTTCTGGGCAAAATTTTCAAGACTAGTCACATTAGTAGAGGAAGTTGAGCTGTGCGAGGTATGAACACGAACACCATCATATTCCCTTGAATCCATATTATTATCATTTACCAACCAGGCTCCCCCTCCGGTTTTCGAAAATTGCTTCCCTGAAAAGTTAACATTACTTCCCTTGGCCAAAATTGCATTGAAGTTTTGGGATCCAACACTCTCCAAATCCAATCTGTCACCTTTTCTTCCAACATCTTTCTTCTCAGATAAACTGCGAGCATCATTTCTATCTGTCCCATGTTCAAAAACATCATCATTAGATATGTTTCTTTCAGAGACTAAGTCACCGTTTTCATCATTGTGCTTTCCCATTTTGTTACCGTCCCCAACTTCAAATTGAAGAATAGGATTGGGCATTTTTTCCACCGTGGCAATGAAAGCAGAAGAATTAGAAAACCCTGAAACAGAGCCCATTGGGGGGCTCCAATTAGTGAAGTACTTTGGTGTCGAATGCAATGATGGAAATCTAACTTTATCGAACTTCTGAGGCACAGAAGACCATGGGGCATTTCCACTTCCATATGGAACCAATATTGACTGAAACAGTAAATAATTAACAGCAAGCACCCCCAACAGAAAAAGCAATCTCCGGTTCCCCATTTGACATAACTCATAAAAATATGGAAACAGGTAAACCAGTTAAGAACTGAGATGACACCAGATCACTTCGTTCTTTGACAAATTAGCTTCAATCTCCCAAACATTCTGCTATTATGACTTCACAAATCATTGAAGAAGACTTGAAGAGAAAAAAAATCAAAGGATCCTACTAAGAAAATTGGAATATTTTATAGTTAGAGAGACTACAGACAATCCAGCAAAATGTTGAGTCGGATCAAGTAAATAAACACTGAGTCTTAATTTTCACTGTTTCTTAAGGTTAGGTGCATGTGACTTGAGGAACTTGAAGAAAGCGAAAAAAAGCAAAGAGTTCAAAATGGACATTTGTTTCGTATTTTCGCAAAGAGGAACGAGACAACAAGGGGAAGTGCAGGACTAACCTTAGTAGTACAGTGAAGACCGAAACCGAAGAGACAAACTTCAAGCTCTCTTTCTCTCTCCTTTTCGCTATTTTTTTGACTTTATTGTGACCAAACAAAGAAACAGTTCGGGACCAGAACCAGACGAGATCTAAGTAAAATCTTTTAAAGTATCTAATAATGGAAATGTGTTCATCAAACGCACATATACTAATAATTTGTAACAGCCACACAGGCAAACTAATTTATTTGAAGATATTTATTCCTGTAACACAATATTTTCGTAGATACATTTAACGTTAGAAAAAGATTGAAAAATAATTATAAATTACAATTTAAATTCCTTCATATTTTGTATTTTCTAAATTTATTTTTCAATTAACTTTTATGTGTTATGTATTTTTGGACGAAGGAAATTGTAACAAAAAAGGAAAAAATAAAATAAAAAATTACGAAACTTTTTTTTTTTTGTGATTATTCTTTATAAAACACTATACCTTTAAAATACCTCTTTTTTAATTTATTTGCATCGCTTCATTTACTTCGTCTTCTAAATTTTATTTATTATAAATTATTGTTGTCCATTTAAAAATACAAACTTCTCAAAATTAAATAAAGTTATTTTTTCGTTTTCTTTTTCAATTAGGAAAATGTTTGTCTGTATCTTAAGAAAAATCAAGAATTAAAAATAAAAATACAAACATATAACATTTTAAATATTTTTTATTATATTTAAAAAAAATTATTAATACTTTTTAAATACTAACAAGCTGACATGGCCTTTGATAACATGTTTTGCTGAATTTAATTGATGATCTGGGGAAATTAGTGTTGTGTGAATTGGTGATGTGGAATATGGATTAGTTATAGAAATTTGGTAACCTTGATTGATGATGATATGAGAATTTATCTAAGAATTTTGATTATTAAATTGAAATTTCTTGAGCCGGGAAAAATTTAAATTGTAATATTATAAATTTATTTAGTAGAAAATAACTTTAGAAGAATCAAAATGATCAATTAAAGTTTATATGAAAGTTACAAATTTTTAAATATATATATATATATATATATATATATATATATATATATATATAATTTTATATTTCATAAATCCTCCTTTATTGAAAAAAAAACTTTATATATTTTAATAAATATTTATTTGAGACTCGTAAAAGATTATAACTTCATATTATGTTAAAGTGTATTTGTTTATTACTTAATATCCAACTTCTAATACTTGAGTTAATAGTGTAAATTTATTAAATTAGAATATTATAAAAATATTATGAATTATCACATTGTTTGTCATAAAAATTGATATTCAGATGTCTCATATTGTCAATATATGTATTTTGTTAGAAAAAAATGAAAGAAAATGTGGCGGTAAAACACTTGTACAAAGAGTTAAGAAGAATTAACTTGCGAAATTAATGCGGAGAGCAATTTACAAAATATTTTTGGGACGAAAGCGGTAATTGACATAAGAATAGAGGTAGCAAACATGCAAAACGGCGTCGTTTTAATACGTTATGCCATGTCACACACACAAACACACTCATGAACCCAAACTAAGTTGAAGAATGCAGAACACTTTATCATCTTCTTCATGGCTCTGAAGCTCGCACACACTCACAATTTTCCCATCTTCGCCCCAACCCTCGACCCCAATCCCAACCCGCGTCCATCCTCGGAGACCCGACTATCTCGCTGGAGCAACCCGCAAACCCGCTCCGACAGATCCCCCAATGCACGCCGAACGAGTCGACCCTCCGGCCCGGCCAACAGGTCCAAAAGCCCACCAAGGCCCAACGTGGACCCGGAGTCCCACCCGGCGTTAAGGTTCTCCAACATCCCCAAATTGAAACCGCGACGGATAACCTCCGCCCCGGATAACGTGAAAATCAGCGACGACGGACTATCCTACGTCATCGATGGTGCCCCATTCGAGTTCAAGTACAGCTACACGGAAACCCCCAAAGCGAAGCCAACCAAAATACGAGAACCGCCATTCCTCCCGTTCGGTCCGGCCACCATGCCGCGTCCGTGGACGGGTCGCGCGCCGCTACCGCCGAGCAAGAAGAAGCTGAAGGAGTTCGATTCATTCGAGCTTCCACCGCCGCACAAGAAGGGGGTTAAGCCGGTGCAGTCGCCGGGGCCGTATTTGCCTGGGACAGGACCTAGGTACGTGAAGTCGAGGGAGGAGATTTTGGGGGAACCATTGACGAAGGAGGAGATTCGTGAATTAGTTAAATCCTGCATGAAAACCCCACGCCAACTCAATATGGGTTCGTTTGTTGCTACTTGCTACTGTTTTCTGCTCTCTTTTGTTGTGCTTGTGGTGGAAAATTCATTGTCTTTGTTTGTGTTTTATTTTAGGTAGAGATGGTTTTACGCATAACATGTTGGATAATATACATGCTCATTGGAAGCGGCGGAGGGTGTGCAAGATCAGGTGTTTGGGAGTGTGTACTGTCGATATGGATAATGTTTGCCAGCAGCTAGAGGTTGGATTCTTCTCTATTTTATCATAACAATATGTTAATTTAAATGCTTAAAATTTTTTAAATTCTCACATCTAATCACATACTGACATTTATGATAATTTGCATCCCTGAAATTTTATAATAATTACCGAAATAGTTATTCATCTATAATGTAGCAGTCAATAAGTTATGTTACTTGTACTAGTTTTGTAAAATTGGGTAGTTAGATTGTTAGGAATGTTTCCAAGTTGTTAATTTGCTCTCAAATGAGCTCTGCAAATTAAACATGTATACATTCGTATTAGCATATTTTTCTTCTCAGTCAAATATTGAGGAGGCGGAAGATAAATAATGATTGGAGAAGTGCCAGATTTGTCAGGAAATGGAAATGTGCAAAATAACATTGTGCTGTATCATTTGAGTTTTCTCTTGCCTCATGTTATCTGGTTTTTCAGGAAAAGACAGGGGGTAAAGTCATTTTCAGACGGGGCGGTAAGGTCTACCTGTTTCGAGGAAGAAACTACAATCATAAAACACGCCCACGTTTTCCACTGATGTTGTGGAAACCTGTGAGTCCAGTATATCCTAGGTTGATTCCGCGAGTTCCTGAAGGTCTAACTCTGGAAGAAGCAACTGAAATGCGTGAAAAGGGACGCAAATTGATTCCAATATGCCGGCTAGGTACCTTTTTAAGGAAGAAACGTGTAGTTTAGCAATTAAGAAAAGTTAATTTCTCTTGGCAAACTGGATCTAGCTGTTTTTTTTCCCTGATACACACTTTTCTAATGCATTGGCTACTTTTATCATGCTACAGGAAAAAATGGTGTTTACTATAACCTAGTTAACACTGTCAGGGAGGCATTTGAAGAGTGTGACCTAGTGCGTATAAACTGTCAAGGACTAAATAAAAGTGACTATCGAAAAATTGGAGCAAAACTAAGGGTATAACAAATTTTGGCTCCACTGTCGAAGATAATATGGACTCAGATTTTTTCCCTGTTATTTTGGATTTTTTACATTAATTAATGAGGATATACTATATTAAAATCTTTCTTTCACAACTATTCTTTTGACTGTAGGATCTTGTACCGTGCACATTGCTTTCCTTTCAATATGAGCACATACTTATTTGGAGAGGACCTAATTGGAAGTCCTCTATACCAGATCTTGGAGATGACCTCAAGGAAGCCAATAAAATTGTTGACAATAAAAATTTTGAACCACGGCCATCAGAGGCCCTAGAAATCTCAGCGCAAGGTCTACAGAAGAACACAGTAGAGCATGAAAGCAATTTATCACATGACGCTACCATTTCCTCCAGTTCAAGTGATGTTACTTTGGGTAAGGTTGAGGTGCCATATCCCATTGAAAATAGCAGGCAATCTATTTCTGAGGTTACTGAGCTTGCTTCACTTACAAAAGTTTATGAAGTTGAAACCGCAAATGTTGCTACAGATTCCTATGCTGAGCCTGACCCTTGCACGAGTCCCTGTCCAAGTGTGACCTTATCACACTATAATAACAGTTCTGAAGGCTCGACGAGAGCTATGAGTGATAACCATGGAGCTGAGAATATAATGGATAGCCAAACCATCTGTGTTGGTCTTTCTGCTTCAATTTCAGTTGGAGGTGGTGACAATTATACCAATGGAATGGTAGATCCTCATTGTGATAAGCTGCTAGATACTTTAGGAGAAGTAGATGTCAGTCAGTTACCAAGGTCAGCTGCTCCTTATATGAAAGAAATTTTGTTACTCTTCGAACAAGCTGTTGAGCAAGGTAGTGCGCTTGTTCTAGATAACGATTCTTTGGATGCGGACAATATTTACCAAAAAGCAGTTGCCTTTGCCAAATCAGCTCCACCTGGACCAGTTTTTGGGAAACAAAGAAAGGCTGTGGCTGTGGTTGAAAAGAGTCACAAGAATGAAGGTTCAACTTTAGAGACTAAAGAAACTACCACTGTTTCCACGAAACGGGAAAAGGCGAGGAGTACTAAAATTTCTAGAAAAGCTAATTTTGATGGCCAATTACTGAATGATGTACCACAAGGAACATTAGGAGTTGATGAACTTGCTAAACTTTTATTATGATGCTGGATGGTTTTATCTAAAGTTCTGATGCCATTGCAGTAGAGTTCATTGAATCATACGTAGTGCATTTGTTGACAAAGTATTTTCTTATTTCCTTCGGCCTTTGCTTTTGTTACTTTCCGTGGTATGATCCCAATATTATATCGGTATGGTTTACTCACTGTCATGGTTTTGTTATCAGCCTCCTCATGACTTAGGCTGTGGCTAGACGTCGAATGCCGTGTTAAATAAAATGTAATGTACGTAGTGGTATGGAAAGACGGGAAGTATCATATCATTGTTTTATATTTCATGATGAAATGGGGTGGAGTGCTGATTTCATTGTATGGACTTCAGGTAGAATGATGAAGAAATGGTGGAAAAATAAGATTGTGAATCCACAATCTTCCGAATTTGATAGGAAACAAATAAAGCTTTTAGGTACGTAGAGATTAATTGCATTTATCGTTAAGTTGCCTTCTTTTTGGCACATTGAGTCACCTTTTATTCATCTCATTCTACACACTTTTTATTCAATTCAAAAAATGATAATAAAAGTCTTATTGTTTCATTTTATATCTTTTGTTTACTTATATTTAAAAGAGGAAGTGATCATCGCTGAGAAAAGGAGATTAAATAAATATATAAGCGATAAATCATATTTAAAAGAAAATGTCTAAATAGATTGATTTTTGACAACGAAAGCAACAAACAATATTCTAAAAGAAAAAAATATATATATAGTACTATGTGGATATGTATTTTTTGACAATGGTGTCAATATAATGCCACCCTATTCTAAAAAAAGGAAAAAAAAAAACATATAAAGAAACCTAGAGTTGTTTCCATCCACTACTATGCGGAGATTTATCTTTTAGAGAATGAAAGTAACAAACAGTATTCTAAAAAAAGGAAAAAAAATATATAAAGAAACCTAGAGTTGTTCCATATATTAGTATGCTGAGATTTTAAACATTTGCCACTGGCGTCCCTTCTGATCCATTTTGGTCGTTAGTGACAACATTCTTCCAGAACCAATGTTTTTCGAAAAGAAGATAAATCTCCTCTATTGGGACTTTCTTGGTTTCGGGCAAAAGGAAGAAGACGAAGCAACTCATGACGACAATTAAGCCACCGAAGAGCAAGAAGATTCCGTATTTGAGGTGGCAAAGTGACATGAGGAACAACTGAGCAACAAGTGCGGTGAAGATCATGTTGACACACACCACCATACTCTGTGCAGCTGACCTTATCTCTAATGGGAATAGCTCACTCGGAACCAACCACCCAAGGGGACCCCAAGATCTCCCATATGCCAACACGAACAAGAATATCACAACAACCAGAACAGCACTGGGTCCTTTTCCAAGTTCTTTCCCGTGTCCAAAGTCCACAGCCAAAACCGCAGCCGTAATAATCTGCAAATCAATAAAAAAAAAAGTGCAATTAGCAATTCCATTAAAAGCGTTGCATTAGTTTGATAAAACTAAAGGACAATAAGAGCTAGAACAAGTAGTTACCATGCAGCATATCATTTCAAATCCAGCTTCCAGAAAGAATTTTCTTCTACCAAACTTGTCAACCAAAAACATTGAGATGACGGTGGCAACTAGAAGAGCGCCATTGGTGATAAAGGATGAAAAGAGAGCAGCATTAGCACCGAACCCCAAACTCTGGAAAATGACAGGGGCATAGAAGAGGATGGAGTTATTGCCAGTTAGCTGCTGGAATGCTGGAATCCCCAAGGCACCTATGATCAGTTGTGGCCTATACTTCCTCTTGAGGAGTGTCCTAAATGGGCTCTTCACAGCTCTGGCTTCTTCACTTGCTTCCTTAAGATCTTCAAATTCGGCATCAACATTCTTTGTACCTCTAACTTTCTCCAATACTTTTCTTGCTTCGTCCAACCTTCCTTGCTCCACAAGGCTGTTAGGTGTCTCAGCACACAGAATACCTCCAATAAGCATAAAAACTGCCGGAACACCTGCCAAACCCAGTGATATCCTCCATCCGTGGGGATGGATTTTGTTCGTGAAGTAATTCACTAGGTTTGCAACTAAGATTCCAGCACAAGTTGTGAACTGAAACAGTTGGTTCACCGCTCCTCGGTTCTTTGCCGGAGCCATTTCCGAAAGGTACAATGGAACAGCCTACACAATTGAATGCACCGTTAAGAATAATATTTCTTTGTAAGTAACGTATGCATGTTAGAAATCCAGTCAGAAACAAGAAGCAACGTTGAAACTACAATCACAAACATGCTACGTGTGAAGGATTAGTTTTGGAGTATTTATTTGACTCACTTGGTTACCAAAGCCAATGCCTCCACCGAGAAGGACCCTGCCAATGATCAGCATTGCAATGTTCTTAGCTGCTGCATTGAGGATTGCGCCTGCCAGAAAGCTAAGGGCTCCCACTATGATGCTGGCCTTCCTTCCCTTGCTTCTTGTTAAGTAGGAGGCAAAGAATGTCATGACCAGTGCTGAGATATAAAGGGACGATGTGAACAGTGTTAGGACTTGGTCGTCATATTTGCAGTAGTCTGTCTCATTCAGATGCGAGTTCTTCCTGCTGTACACTTTTGGGAAGAACTCTTTCAGAAAATCATCCATTGAAGTCACCCCACCTGACACCACAGCATCACAAGCAAATTTCTCATTTTGAACTTTCTTTGAGACAACATGAAAAGAAGAACATAGCTATAACATCACAGACAGTTCTTCCTATGGAATGGGGAAATCGCTAATTATCCTGCTGCACAGACTTTTTCTGAATTTTCTGCTTTCTAAGCATGAATTCCTTTAGACCAAAAGACAGTTACATGATCATGTAATTTTAGTATATATAATTAAATAGTTCCAAAAATAATAATTAAGAGAATTTCTAATTATTAGAATGATCTAAATATTTCCAGTTAAAAATTATTAAATCGAACTCAATAACAATAATAATAATAATAATAATAATAATAATAATAGAAGAAGTAGTGTATATTTCTTTTCTTTAAAGCAACCACGTCTGTTCCATTCCCTGAATAACTGGAGTTTATTGTGAACAGCGAACTCAACTGAAAGAAATACGAAATTGAAGTCGAAATTCCCGGCCCAGTTTTCGACTCAGAAATCAAAACGTTAAATACACATGATACTGATTATGGATGATAAAAAATGATAAATGAGAATAATTCGAATTATAAAATAAATATGATAGAAAAAATTATCGTAAACATTTTATCCATATAAAAAATTCACTGAACAGGTTCTTTCAATGATATTCATCCAGAATCATGATACCACTTTGCAATTGTTGCATATAAAAAATAAATACCTGATGACGAAGAGTAATAAAAAGTAATAAAGTTAATGCAAGAATTAGATGTTTAATGAATAGAATCGAGAACAAATTAATGAAAAAGAAAAGGATGAGAGAAGAATGACCTGAAACACCAAGGTCATAGCCAAAAAGCGAGCCACCAAGAGCCCCAACAATGCATGTAAAGGCAAAATAGTAAGTGAATTTGTGCTCATAAAGATGAGCCCTTTTTCCACGCTCTCCACCTCCAACTATTCCCCCTGCCATTGCTCTCTCTGTCACAACTCTCGCTCTCTGTTTTTTCAAAGAAAATCTTTCACCGTCTCTGCTCTTTCAATCATCAACTTTCACGCTGCTATTTATAAGACCTCTGGAGTCATTGACAGTTCACATGCTTTACAAACAGATACGAATATTTTAACTACTTTTATGTAATTCCGTTGTTAATATTAATATCATTTTTATAAAATAACCTATCTTTTCTTAATAAGGAACAATTTGTTTTTTATCTTTTAATCGAACAACAACCAAACAGTAACTATTTCCGTTATAAAATAAGCTATTTGTTTTTTATTTTTATACGAGTGAAACCTTAATAAGGTAAAGATGTTGAGAAGAATGATAAACAACAGAAAATTTATTCACCAGTTTAAGCTATAAATAAACCTGCTTCATTTTTTATTTTTTTTGAGACAGGTAAAAAATAATATGGTTGATGAGAAGATAAAGAAAAAATAATTAATGATAAAAAGTTTTCTTCGTGTATCTTTTTCGAATTGGTTTGTTTGTCGATCATACGTGGAAAAGGTGGCCGAATTCTTATAATTGAAATTAATTGTTAATTAATAGTTAAGTATATTTTTATTTAGTATGTAAATCTTAAATTTAACAGATAAACTCTTTCTGAAAATATATCATATTATATATTATATGTTTTCGTTTACTTGAAATCAAATTCGATTTAAACTGAGATGTGAAGAATAAAAACAGAAAAGTTAATATTGAACCTTAACCTAAAAAAATACAATTTAATGTATCTAAATTCCAATGCACTTAGCTTGGTCACATTTGGATTTTACGACACTTGAATTGTAGTTGGGACAGTTTCAATAACAATTTTATCTATAAAATAATTTCTTAACGACTTTAAAAAATACAAATTTTTCGAATAAATTAAATACATCATATATCATAAACTTAGAATCGATCGCATAAACTTTTATTCGTTATTATTCTATACTTTAAAATAACGTATTGTTAAGCTTTAAATAATTAGTTAAATACAGTTAGAAACTAAATAACAGTATGAAACATTGTATGATATTTGTGAAAAAAATATAATTAATGTGATAATAGACACATCTTAAATATTTTTTATGCGAGATATATATATATATATATATATATATATATATATATATATATATATATATATATATATATATATATGGTATATTAATCTGAACTATTGGTAATTTATTGTTTTAACTTTCAAGGACTTTACAAATCTAAAATGTTACATTTTTTCTATATTAGTTTAGATAGTCATCTAAATCATTTATTATCTTGAACTGATTTTTATAAACAACATATATTTTATATTAAAAACAATAGTAGAATGAAATCATTGGATTGTTGGAACTTAGGATTAAATCAAAATTTTGAATTAATAATATTTAATTGATCTGACTTAGCTTAGTTTTAGAGATTTTGATAGTTAATTAAAATTAAATTAATATATGTATACCAATATATACAATATTAGGGATTCCCCTATTTAGCATACAC